ACAGGATAGGGCACCTCCCTGTCGTAGGCCCGTTCTCACATGGATTGTATCTGTTAGTGCGTTTAGAATTCGAATTTTGTTTTGTACTTAAGTGTCTCTTTTACTATACGAATGAGTTGAGTTGAAATATTAAACTCTTTCAGTGCATGGATCAGAAATTCTCGATGGATGCTATCATAAGCACTCAAAATCAATGAAAAGATGATGTGTGTCTACTAGTGATGTAACGAATATTCGTATTCGCATTCGCATTCGCGAATATTCGCATATTTTTGCATATTCGCATTTGCATTCGCATTCGCAAAATTTGTGCGAATGTTTTGCGAATATTACACAGCTTGCATTTAGCTCGTTCAGTATCGAAAAGTGGTGAAAAATAAGTCCATATTTCACTATAATTTGATTTACTCATAGTAATAAATCGCTAATCACACTTTAACTAAAAATTCACTTGTATTTGTGCACGAGCAGAGCAGGGCAAGTGGAGTGACTTGTGTCCCGTGAAATTTTTATTGGAACTATAACCAGAGAACTTAGTTCTCTGCTATAACTTTCTCTCTATAACAAGTCAAATTTGATTATAACAAGAGAAAATAAGTATTATAGTTTATTTCGTCTTCCGGGTTTGGACCGTGTCATTTGTGAGTGACCCAAAAGTGCGTTCATCTCGACGTTTCGCTACAATTGTATGTAGCTTCTTCAGGAGAACAAAAAAAAGAAATCAAAAGACAGGAAGATGGGTAGTTAGCAACGGTAACTCAGTTGCTCAACGCAACCAGAGGCGAATACTAACTACCAAGATAAGCATTTGGTCACAGTAACTCAACTACTTAACGCAGCCAGAGGTGAAAACCAAATGCCAGGACAGGGATTCACGTCCACAGCTCAGAACACTAATGCGTCGAGAGGCGGGGAGTGAATCCTCATTCACTCCCCTCATTCACCTTCACCTTCTTGGGTCACTCACAAATGACACGGTCCAAACCCGGAAGACGAATAAACTATAATTCTGATTCTGGCCGTGGAAGCCTACGATTTCAAGAGAAAATAAGATCGAAAACGTGCTTTCTACGTTTTTGGCCCGGACGTGACTATAAATAAATACCTTTTTAAACAACCAATCAATAAACTTAACCGCCTACAATAAACTTCTTTACAATAAATACAACTGTTTCACATCTTTACTTTAGAAAATATGATAGAATGATACTGGACAATTTAAAGCAGTTAAAAATGACAGACTTTTTCCAATTGTTTACACACCTCGCGCAAATGAGACTGCCGGCAGTGCCGGAGACAATTAAAGTTGCCAATTAAAAAAAAAACTGAATATTCGCATTCGCGAATGTCGGTGGTATATATTCGCATTCGCATTCGCGAATGTTTAAAAAATGACATTTGTTACATCACTAGTGTCTACATTAAATTCGCTAGTCTTTTCCAAGATTTACCTCAAGACGAAGATCTGATCTATTGTAGACTTCTGTCTGCAGAAACCACATTGATATCCCCCAACTATTTGTTCCGCATATCGTCTTATCGGTCATACACAATATCTGACAGTATTTCGTATGCCATAGTTAGTAGCGTTATTGCCCGATAGTTTTTACATTGAAGCTGATCTCCCTTTTTATGTAATAATTACTCCGGTATTCCAGTCTTGTGGCAGTTGTTTATTATTCCATATGTTCACTATTAGTTCGTGTATCGCATTCAATGGGGAGTCTCCACCTTCCTTTATTAATTCTGCGTTAATGTTATCTAATCCATGTGACTTGTTGTTTTTCAGTCTGGTAACTGCTTCTTGCATTTCAGCTATGAAGGGGGGTTGTTTCTCTCGGATCCGTTTGATCCAGTACAATTCCATCATATAGTGGATCTCCTTGTCTTCAAGTCTTTGTCGAACCAGTCGTTTCTTTCTTGGGTTCGGGATATTTTCAATGTGCTTTCGACTGCTAATTTCAGAGCCTCCTTACAGTTGTTCCACATTTCCATTCTTGACTGGTCGACTGCCCAGGTGTGTTCTAGAGTTTCTTTTATATGTGACTGGAACTGTTTCTCTTGGTTTTTATTTTTTAGCATATGTAAATTATATTTTACTTATCTAATGCCCCTTTCTTTCTTGGCATTGAAAATTCTTTGTCGTAACTTTGCCCCTATCATGAAATCATCATCATCATCATCCAGCCGAATTTTCACATCCATTGTTGGATATAGGCCTCCTCCAAACGTCTCCAGTTCTCTCTATCTGTAGCTGCTGCAATCCAGTTTGTTTCTATCCTCCTTAGGTCGTCGGTCGATCGGGTGGGTGGTCTGCCTCGACTTCGCTTGTCGGCTCTTGGTCTCCACTCCAATAATCTCTTCATCCATCTTCTGTCTTCCATTCTAGCAACATGTCCAGCAAACCTCCACTTTTGTTTATTGATTCGCAGTATAATATCGTCTACGCCAGTTCGGCGTATCTCCTCATTTCTTACGCGATCTTTCAAGGTCAGGCCCAGCATTGATCTCTCCATTCGCCTTTGTGTTACCTCAGTTTTTCGGCAGTAGCTTTCGTTAAAGTTAAGGTCTCTGCTCCGTAGGTCAAGACTGGTAAGATGCATTGGTTAAATGCCTTCCTTTTCAGGTGAATTGGGATATTTGTTTTAAAAATGTCTCTCATCCGTCCATATGCCGCCCATCCCAACATGATTCGTCTATTTAGCTCGCAGGTTTGCTTGTCTCTGGTTATTCTAATTTCATGACCCAAGTATGTGTATTTATCGATTAATTCTACCTTGTTGTTATTGATCTGTATCTCTTCGCTGGGAACCATATTGGTCATCATTTTGGTTTTCTCGAAATTTATCTCCAGCCCAGTTTCTTGTAGTATGTCATTCAGTCCTTGGAGCATGTCTTTGATCTCTCCCAGATTATCTGACAGAAGCACGATATCGTCCGCAAAACGTAGATGGTTTAATCTTTCTCCATCGATGAATATTCCTTTCTGTTGCCATGTTAGTTTTTTAAATGCATACTCAAGAACGGTAATGAACAGCTTTGGTGACATGGTATCACCTTGCCTGACTCCCCTTTTTATCTTTATTTTATTAGTTGCAGAATATAGACTTATCGTTGTTGTGGCATTTTCATATATATTTTTAATTATATTACAATATCTGTGGTCGATCCTGCAATCTTGTAGTGCTCTTAAGATGGACGGTAGTTTCACTGTATCAAACGCCTTTTTAAAGTCTACAAATATCAATGCCAAGGGACGGTTATATTCGTTAGTTTTTTCTATTAGGGTTTTTAGGCACTGCAGGTGATCGTTTGTGCCGTAATTAGGGCGGAAACCAGCTTGTTCCCGAGGTTGGTAAAAATCCAGCTTTGTCTCTAATCTATTCGTTATTATTCGGGTGTATAATTTATAAAGATGGTTAAGGAGACTGATTGGTCTGTATCTTTCCAGGTCTGCTACATCTCCCTTCTTGTGTAAGATTACAGTTATTGAATTATTCCACTTTGTTGGGATATTTTGATTCTATAGGCATAGATTAAAGAGCTTTTGAATTTTGGCTATCAGTACTGAGCCTCCTATCTTTATCGCTTCCGTGACGACTCCGTCCTCCCCCGGAGCTTTGTTATTCTTCATGTTTTTTAGGGCCTTGTAAATTTCGTTCAAGGAGATTTCTGGAATATCTTCGGAACCCTGATTTTGAACCTTCCTTTGTTGATATTCGACTATATCTAGAGTCGATTGGTTGCTATATAATGTCTCATAGAATGATTCCACAATTTGTAACAAATGTTCTCTGTTTGATGTGATGTTGCCATTTCTATCCTTGAGTTTGACTATTTGTTTATTTCCATTTGTGAGTTTGCGTCTCATTATTTTCATACTCTTATTTTCCTCAATGGTTTTGATGATTTTCTCATCTTTGTATTTTCTTAAGTCTTTTCTGATTTCCCTTGATACTTCGTTGTTCATTCTATATATATCGTCGTTACTAGAGTTTTCGTCGCTTCTCAGTATTCTTCTTTGTTCCATTTTTTTCTGTGTTTCCAGACTAATTTTTTCTTCTTTTACGCTTTTTGGGCAGCATTTCTTTTGAGCTTCTGTTATTGCTTCTACTATTATGTCATTTAGAATATTAATATCATTTGTTGATGATTTTTCTTGAAGGAATTTACCGATATGATCTTCAAAATTTTGTTCGTTGTTTGGATGTGTCCATCTGTTTATTTGCTTCTTTTTTATCATATTGTGTCGTTCATACTTGGTATTTAACACAATGGTGGCTCTCACCATACGATATTTAACACAATGGTGGCTCTATCATGAAATGGTCAGTCAATATTTGCGTCTCTGTAACTTATGACGTCCATTAGGTTTGTAAAGTGCCTTCTGTCAATTATAACATGGTCAATTTGATTTGTGGTGTGTCTATTTGGTGATATTCAAGTTGCTTTTATTCTTATGATTAAAACATGTACTTCCCACAATTAAATCTTTGGAAGCTGCTATACTAATAAACCCTAAACCATTATCATTAGTAATGTCGTGAAGGCTGTGTTTACCAATATATTCTTGGTAGCATATCTCTTTTCCTATTTGGGCGTTCATGTCTCCAATGATTATTTTAATATCGTTTTTGGAACGGTTATCATATGCTCTTTGGAGGTCTTCGTAGAATAGATCTTTAATTTCTTCGTCTTTTTCCTCGGTTGGCGCGTGCACGTTGATCAGGCATAAGTTGAAAATTTTTCCTTTTATTCGAAGGATGCATAACCGATCATGTATGGCTTTAAAACCAATAATAAAATTATTATGATTTATATTTTTTGTTGTTTACTATTTTATTGAATAAAAATAATTTTGTTATATTATCACTCAATACTCAATAAATCCTCCGTTGTTAATTTAAATATATAAATTTTTACTCTTTTCGTTTTATGTCTCAATATTTAGATATTGTCTTAATTTTATGTCTCAATAATTTATCATTTCCATAATATAGAAACAATACGTGGAATGACTACGTCACCGACCTCATCCTCAAGCACCGGAACGAGTGAAGATCCTTCGACAATTGATAGTGAGTTCGACATAGAAGAAAATGATGAATTTCTTTCCACAGAGGAGCAAGAAGAAAGTACACGAAAAATGAGCGTATCAAATAGTTTAATGTCAAACGAATATCCATCAGTTTCTAATGTAAATATTGTGGGTTCAAACGAGCAGCAACCTTCAACTTCAAATGAGCGTTCATTGATTTCCAATGAACATTCGAATGAGCACCCTTCAGTTTCTAGAGAAGATCAACAGATTGGAAATGAGCAAGATCGGCCTTCAACTATTAGCCGTCCAATTACACCAACTTCAGTTCTAGATTCTTCAGGGACCATATCGGATAATTCATAAAGATCAAGAATAAATCGCAGAGAGATTACAAATTTAGCAAGCGTCGTTGTTGAAGCTCGTAATATAATAATAAAAAACCAATAAGACTGTAATCAGTATTATTTTTGTATATATTATCATTACTAATAAAAAAAAATGTATTTTTATAAAATATTAATCTTTATTTATTTGAGGAGGCTTGACCTTTTTTACGCCTTTTATCATCCCAAATGGGGAATGGAATCCCAATTCCATTGTTATAACGTATGATGACATTAACAATCTAATTTGTTTAACGCTAGACAATGTATGCTTCCATTGCAAACAACTGCAATTGCACGAACTGAAATTTTCTCATTTAGACCCATCTCATTCATCAATGTAATGTGCAAAGTCTTGGAAAAAATAGTTAACAAAAGATTGCTATGGATGTTAGAAAAAAATCACCTCCTGGTAAACGAGCAAAGTGGATTTCGACAAAACCGAACTACTACTGATAACCTCATTAATTTAGCGTCTGAAATTCTGGAATATTTTGCGAACAAACAAGAAACTATTGCAGTGTTCATAGATATTACCAAAACATTTGATACGGCATGGTGTTATGATATTATCAGAACACTTCATACACGGAAGTTTAGAGGTAACATTAATTACATTTCAAATTTGTATTTAATATGGGGATTACAGGTCAGCATGAAGAAAACAGAATATTTAGTTATCAATTCAGATGCAAAGTTTGAAGTGTTGATAGACCCTCTAGAAATCAAACAAGTAGAAAAATTTAAATATTTAGGTGTACTCGTTGATAAGAACAGCTTGGGAGAAACCGAAATTAAACACCGAATTAATCAGGGACGTAAAATTGTAGGATGTCTGACTCCTTATGAGGGGATCGCAACATTTCCAAAAGGAGCAAAAAACGAATAGCTGAAACCATGGTTGAATCAGTTCTTTGTTATGGTTCTGAAGTATGGACAATTAATGCAGACATGAAGAGAAGATTGTTGGCAGTTGAAATGTATTATTTGAGAAGAAGTGCTAGAACATCAAGGCTGGAAAGAAAGACCAACGAATCTATAAGAAATAACACGAATGGTACAGAAACGGTCATTGACAGAATAGAAGGAAGAGGTTTAACATGGTTTGGACACCTATTGAGAATGCCTGGCAAACGTTGGCCCCAAAAACTTCACAGATGGAAGTCCCCTGGAAGAAGAAAAAGAGGTAGACCTCGCAAAAATGCAACGCTATTTTAGATTGCTATGGATATTATTATACCATCAAAATCTAGCTTGGTTCGTGGCTGATTATATGCAGATGATCTGGTGTTAATATCTTCAGGGAAAAATATATTCTCAGTTCAGCGTCACTTACAAACCGCACTTCACGAACTCGAAAACTGGTCGAAGAAAACAGGATTTCAGTTTTCACTCAGCAAATCAAAGTGCTTGTTATTTATAAAGAAACATGATCCAATTAAACCAGAAATCAAATTATATAACCAATTCTTAAATTACGTTGATGACATTGGGTTTTTAGGAATGATCTTCGATACGAAACTAACATGGAAAAAATATATACTGCAAATTAAAAAAACGTTCCAAAATGGAATCATTATTAAGAAAACTCTCTCTAATAAAGACTATGGAGTGGAGTATAACTGCTTAATTCATGTTTATAAAACTCTAATAAGATCTAAAATATATTACGATTCCATAGTATATGCATCTGCCAAGAAATCTGTACTACATCACCTTGACGTTGTTCAAACTACGGCATTAAGAATAACCATGAGTCGGACCAGCCCAACAGAAATTTTGAGAGCAGGAACTAGAGAGGCACCAGTTAAATATAGAAGGATGCACTTAACATTATGCATTTGCTAATAATTCTAATCCGAACAATCCAACTAGATAAAACATATTAACTGATTGTTTTAAAAACTTATATAATGAAAACAGGAATATGAAACCACCACTCTACGAAAGAGGCAAACTCTTATGGTTTTACAAATTCCGATACCAAATACCTATTCTAACTTTATAGGAATTCTTCCTCAATGGTCAATAAGCATTCCTCAATCCGATACATCCTTAAATGTCTTTAGAAAGAACGATACTCCTTACTCCTTAATAAAAAATACCTTCATCAAAAAACTTACAAAAATGTTTTAACTTCTATCACACAGATGCCTCTAAAACATCTAGTGGAGTTGGGGCAGCCGTCATTACCTCAAATGTTACACTTGAATATAAACTACCATCCTGAAGCTGCATACATACTGGCGAGCTATATGCCACCTATCAAGCTCTCACTCATATTAACTCCGGTAATATATCCAAAGCTATTATAACTACCGATTCCCTCAGTTCCATCAATACCATCAATCAGCTTTACACAACACACTCAATTGCTCTCCTAATTAAAAAACAACTAGCTACCATACAAAACAGCAACACATTGACACAGATTCCTTGACACATTGGACTTCAAGCGAACGAAGCAGCGGACCGCATTGCACAACAAGCAAGAAACAGTGAGACAGCCAGTGAAGTGAGAAATGCAGTGCTAAATGACTTAAAATCATTTGTTAAAATGAAGGTTGAAAATTTGTGGCAAAACCAATGGGACAGATCAACTTCAAAATTTCGCAGTGAAAACATATGTAAAACCTTGGAAATATCAAATTTCCAACAGGGCTTATCAAGTTGTTCTTACTCGACTTCTTCTAGGACATACCCTACTTACCCACGGACATATATCGCCCGCACCAATCCTACTTTATGTGACAATTGTATGTCCCACTCAGTATTAAGCATGTCCTTGTAGAGTGTCCAAGATACCAGTTCCAAAAACAGACCAACCACATCATCGGATGATAAAGACATTAATATACTTAACAAAATTTAATATTTATAAGCAAATTATCTCATGTATATGTTTATATGTCGCTAATAACCTCAGAGGTTGATGCAACAATGTTTGTTTCAAGTATGACATATGTATGTATGACAGTCAAGGCGTTATATGTTACTTACGGACATTATTTAAAAAAATTGACATTTAATAAATAGTGAAAAAAATACTTTTCGGTTTTCATTTTCAGTCTTTGTTTAAAAAAAATAGGACTGATCTGACAGTACCTCGATACATATTTTTCATTGACTATGTCTGACATATGACTTAACACGATCAAATACATGTAATATTTTTTTCACCTACACCTTTTTCTATACTGGTGTACTCGTATCATGGACGTGTATATATTTGGAAAGGAGAAAAATAAAAAGCTAGTATTACTTTTAAAAGGAATTTCTTAAGAGAAAAATAAACATTATCTTAGAGTTACTGTAACTATTTGTATTATTAGGGAAAAATTGTATGAAAACAAGCCAATGACACTGATAGTAATAGAGATCACAATGTCTTGGCAGGTTAAAAAATGAATAAATAAACCATACAAAGATATTTATTATAGAACTTTTGTATTAATAGTTTCCCAATAAAGACCAAAACTCAATGCCTAAAGTCTCTAAAGTTCAGTCTATTTTTTGAGGCTTTTATTTCATTGCTTGTAAAAAATATTATAAAGAAAATAGTTCTATGAATTAGTTACATATGGATTATGAATCTCTTATGACTTTAGGCATGATATTTTCCTAGATTTAGATAAGCTTTAAGTATCTTAAAAAATATCTATACTGTATTAACAAAAAAACTCCATCACATCCAAAACCCTCAAGCTCCGAAAAATATGAGTTATAAGAATCCTTAAAAAGACAAGAATTAACAAAAGCAAATTAAATAGGTTATATAAACACAGTGTCTACAAAAAATCTAGTTCTGAAAAATTTACAGTCATTTTATTTTCATAACATTCTCAGCTACATTATACCTATGACAATTTCTTTGCTTTTTGATAAAGAGTATCTACTACTTTGCTCATACTCTGGATCGTTTCTAGGGCCATTTCATATGTTTTGTCTACTGCGCTTTCTTCGAATACTATGAGGACACCTAAAAAAATACAAATATATTAAATACTGTTTAAATTAATCATATTCAGTCTGGAAAAACCAAAAAGATAATGGTCTTCAAAGACTTTAAATTACATAATTATTTTTGTTGTCCTAAATTCACAATACTTTTTAAATTAAAATCGATCTTTAGTATAGCATCTCTTTATGATTATTCAATAATCAATGGTGATTTTAACCCAAAATCAAGTCCCCCACATGTGAAGCAAATCATGTTTCCTTCAAAATTCCAATTTTTGTCAAATACCTGTAGCTCCTACGTTTATCATAGTAGGTAACCCAAACCCAACTCCGGATATATTACTATGATATAAAAATATAAATAATATCAAAATGCACTTATAACTCATGTACTTGTAATTAACACTTTAAAAAAGTGTGTCTGTACTCTTGTAATACCATTTGTTATATTGTTTATAGATCTTTAGAAACCCCTGTGTTTCCTTCTTAATGGAAAGAAAGTTATGTTGTTCCTATATTTAAAAATGGTCAGGAAGACAATATTGAAAATTATCGTAGCACTTGTATACCATCTGCAATCCCTAAGCTCTTCGACAGTTTTATAGCAAAGCAACTTTCTTGGTTATGGCTTAATATCTCAATCACAACATGGTTTTCATAGCAAAAAATCCACTACAACAAACTTGGTTTGCTATCAATCTGATATATTACCTCATATGGAAAACTGTAAACTGGTAGATGCAATATAGAATATACACAGATTTTTGGGCAAATTTGAATTAATGTAGGCTTTTATGTCAGGTTTGTTGAATGGATTAAAAACCCTACATCTGGGAGAAGTCAAAAGTCAAGATAGGTAGTCATCTGTCTGACAGTATCACAGTAACATCTGGAGTTCGTCAAGGAGGCCACATTTCTCCACTCATTTTTAATATCTTCGTTAATGACATCACTTACTGTTTCCTAAATAGCAAATGTCTAATGTTGGCAGATGACTTAAAATTTTGGAAAGTTATAGATAGTTTAAAAGATCAAGCCTTGCCACAAAATGACTTAGATCTGCTACAAAATTGGTGCAATCAGAACAAACTCCACATAAATGTAAAAAAATGTTTATAAGTTTTTCTCATAAAGCCAATAGAATTGGAACAAGCTATACTAATAATAATTTGCTATTGCTATACTCAAGAATATTTCTTCTATTCGTGGTTTGGGTGTTATTTTCGATAAGAAGCTTATTTTCTGTGACCACATTTCAATAAAGGCATCTAAACTTCTTGGTTTTGTTATCAGAAATTGCAAGTATTTCTCCATTAATTAAACAAGATTATTGTATTGTTGCTTAGTTAGAACTATCATGAAATACTGTTCAGTTATTTGGTCACACTATTTTCAGAACAATATTGATACCATAGAAAGAGTCCATCATCAATTTTTGAGATATTGTACTTACCACGTCCACACTACTATTGAAAATCATGATTATTCCCGTATTGAAACAACTATCTTTACCCTCACTCAAGAACCGTCGTGATAAGTCACAAGCTATATTTATATATAAGATCATACAAGGATTTATTTATTGTCCAAACCTGTTGAGCCAGATTAACTTTAATGTTCCCCATCAAGCTCTATGTTACCACAATGTTTTCAATATTCCTTTCCACAGAACAACCTATGGTATTCACAACCCATTGGATAGATACATGGGGCTATTAAATGTTCGTGATTTTGATATTTTCAATAGAACTTTAACTCAGTTAAAAAGATCTTTTACTTTGTGATATATTGGGACTTTTGAAGTTTGTTCTTGTTATATTTTGTTTGTTTTTTTTTTAGTGTGTAAGATTTTAGTCTCATTTTTTAAAACTTTTTAATATTGATTTTATATTATAAGTAATTTCAAGTTTTGAATCCTAACTGTGATATTGATTTATTATTAATAACTAAATAAATTAACTCCAGATCTGGGCAGTGCTCCTCTGGCTCTTCAATTTGATTTTAATCTAAAGCTTGATCCTAATCATATTATGTTGCCTAACATATCATAATGTAATGTACAAAATGTGAAAAGTAGAATAAAACAATTTTTAAATGTAATGATGTTCTATTTGTCCAAATTACATTAAAAATTTCAACACTATGTTGTCTAAATTAATCTCACCCAAGCAAAATAAATCACCGTTCAATTACGAAGAGACAGTAGCAATAATGCATGTGCATTAAAATCACAATTTAACAAACTAAACAAAGATATTTACTAACTCACAATTTAAACAACATAAATGGATCCTAGCATGTAAGAATATAAACTCCATGAAGACTAAGACACTGGAATGAATTTAAAAAAACCTGTCCAAATAATAAATAATTTCGACAACAAATTTCAGATGACGGGCAGTCATATAATATGGTTAATGAAAAATGTAACGATTTTGTGTTACGACTTAAAAGAGACCTTAGAATTTATTGAGGACAATAACTCTGATAGAGATACCTTAGATGCGGTGAATAATTGGTATAAAATTTGTTTGAGAACAATTGTAACCCAAATCTCCTTCGGATCATCACAGAAGATGAATGTGACTTACATAAAAGAAAAAACAGCTCTGGGCAAAGATTCCATCAATCGTAAAAACCCTTAGGCAACTAGATCCTGTTATTCATGTGAAAATAAGGAGCATATATGACTATAGCATGATGAATTGTTTCCTCTCTGATGAGAAGAGGTATTATAATAATTATTTCTAAACCTAATACTGACCAGAAACTACTTCAAAATTACTGTCTAACCACCCTTCTCCCAGTAATCAGAAAAATGTTTGAGAAAATTGTCTAAAGAAGACTGGTGAGTTACCAGCTGAAGTCCGTTTAAAGAGGTATACTCTCCAGACGCTAGTACTCACGTAAGGCATGGGTGTATGTTACCTGTAGTAACATATAATAAAATATTAAACATCAATAATTTTTAACAACAATATGTACAATCTTTGTTAACCTTATTTACTTTAAAGGGTTTGTACCCTAATATTTTGGTGGTTCAGGCATGTTAACCTGATGATGAAATTATTATTCCCAAAAAGTTTGTTAATTTGATGTAGCCCTTTTAAGGGTTTTTTTAAATATACCCACTTACAAAGATTTAACCTGTTTTTTATAATTAAAGTAGTTCTAATGAAAGAATCTCTGTGAACTTGTCCTGCATTATCATTCATTCATATACTCTCAGAAAGATTCATAAACATATCACTATTAAAACTCTACACACTTGACCTTCACACAACAAATTTAATTAGTCATTCATATGAACGGATCTTTATGAACGGGTCATTTTAATGAATGACATAGAAGGCCTGCGTCACTGAAACGAACCAGGTCTTCCCATCACTAATCTGTAGAGTGCCTCATTTGGCGAATGGCTTACCAGAATTAGATTTATTTACCTTTACCTTTAATTGTGGTTTATTCCCAGTTAAATAGTAATTAATTTAATTTAAAATGCCACAAGAAAATAGCTTCAGAACAATATACTATTAGTATGTTTTGTTCTAATGTTTTTATGATGTTTTATGATGTTATTTACATGTAAAATTTTGTAGAATGATGGGTAATGCCCTTATATAGATAAATAAATAAAAAATGATACCAAGTTATACTAAAGATGCAATAAAACTATGATAAAAGAACGAGAATAAGAAGGTAAAGTGAGAATAAGAAGATAGATCAATCATTAAAAATATTTGGAGAGGCATATGTTCAACAAAGTTTTAGGATGATAAACCAGGATACAATTTTATACAAAAATAATGACAGTGGAAGAATGAACTGATATGACAGTCACTGGACATATCAGACAATGTCGCATTAGTGAAAGTTTATATCTAAGTTAGACATTTTAATATACAATAAATTATTAATAATACTGAAAAGTAACTAACCTTCTCCTTGGTCCAAAATTCCATGAAACTTGGCATCTAAAATCATCTGGGATAATTTTTTCTCCACTTGTAGTACTGGGAGCTTAATGGTTTTTGCTACATACTCTACTTGTACCCTAGAATATGGTTCGATAATCCTGCAAAGATTCTGCTCCAACATATTGTCATACAAAGTTCCTAAATGTGCTCTAACAATAACATCATCTTCTAATTCATGTTTAAACTGTTTTACAGCTTGTTGGAAATCTGCTAGGGATCGCTTGTGTGCAGCCTGTGCAACTGATTTCATAGCCTCTATATCTTGACCAGCATATTTAAAGGCCAATTTACCACTAACAATTTGTTGGACATCTTCTGGACTGTTGATCATGATTTTTGACAAAAGCATGTATTTAAGGGCTGTGAGGGCTTTTGGGGATTCAACACTATCAAAACCTTCAAAAGCTTCATAAAAGTAAGAATAAGCTGTTTTGAAATCCTTCTCATCTGCAGCATGTAATACTCCGGATTGTAAATCTAAAGCTGCCTGCATCTTTGGAGGGCAATAGATAGCATTAGCTGTGGTTCGTGCTGAAGTTAGTGCAGCTCTAGCCTTGGGTAAATTACTTAAAGCATGATATGTTTTGCTTTCAAGTAGTTGTACTTCCACTAACAAATTTTTATCATCCAACTTTTTTAACTCTTTCAGTAAGGTTGATTCCAGTTGTAACGCTTCGCTGTACATTCCAGTGTCAAAATAAAGAGCAATCAGCCTAGCTTCAAGGGACTGGCGTAGAAAAGTTCTTCTCTCTTCCTTTGCCCATTCTATACATTCTTTGCAGAGTTGTACTTCAATACCAATGCCAGCTTCTAAATCCAGAAAATAATCAACGAGAGACCTTACCAATTTAGCAGCTTTTGCTTTGCTTATTAAACTCAAAAAAGGCCTGGTGGCCTTTATAAGTTCTGCGAGTTCCTTTGCCTTGCCCTCCTTTTTATATTTCTCACCAAGATTAAGGATGTCTTGTTCTTTATTGACAATATTTTGTTCGTCATCTTCTTCATCCCTGGATAATTTTAAAAGCTTCTCGTGTTGAGAAGAAACAGACTGAGCTCTTTCAAATAACATTGCTCCGGCCATATTTTTTCACTACTCACTACTGAACTTCCATTAATTTGTCTGTCATTATATGCTTTTCAAGTTAATATGATCGGATCTGATGACTTATGTCAGTTGTCAACAAAATTGTACCAGTCACAGTGGTGAACCAACGCAAACGAATACGAGGTAGTAACAAATGACAGACAAAAACTTATGACATATATCTAACGAACAAGTTTATAGACAAACAAAACGCAATGTCATCATCCCGCGTATGACGAGTATGTTGTTTTTGGACACCAAACAATACAAAAAATAGAAAAAAAATACTTTATTTACTACTAAAAATGGCAACTGCGGTGCTGCCGGTTTCATAGTATTTAAAGTATTTCTTACGATAGAAAAACTAAATATTTAAAATTGAAATGTTAAATAATAGTTTAAATTATTATTATTATTAATCAATTTGGCTCTGAGTAATGTAAAAATGAATACGAACTATATAGGATTGTAGATTTCTTAATCTAAAACACTCAATTTATATTCAAATCAAAAAATATTACTTACACACATTAAAATATTCATAAATCGTGTTTACCTTTGTTTTCCACAAGAAAATCTGGTACATATTGGGAAAAGTAATATAACATTAGGTATCAAGCTTTCGTGCTTTTTAATCCTATCATTACTTTAATTAAGTTACTGAAGATGATGTGGTAGAATATTTAATACTAAATATTAGATTTATTTCTAATTTACAAGCAGCAAACATTAATATAAATAAAATTTACTGAAAATTAAAAGAAACGTAGGTCTATAGATATGTAGGTACTAAGAAGATACTTTCAAAGAAGACAGTAGCTATTTTCAAAATGTGAAACTAAAGATTAGAAAATTACCACTAAAAAGAAAGATCTAAAATCAGAAAGAAATAAATTGAGATATCATTTAACAAATGTGAACCTAGATTAAGTGAACAAAATGATAAGGAAAGTTCTTAGACCAATAATTGAAAGTTATTGAAAAGTTCGTAGAGAAGAATAAAGGACCCAAAGTTTTCGGTAAAAAACTAAATGCGTGTAAAATCACATATCGATCACCACCACTTTTTGTACCACAAACTTTCTCTCTAAGACAAAATCGGAGTCCACATTTATCAAATAACAACGAAAATTGCTGCCAATAATAAAAAGAAGAAAAACTGCTTATCTGGGCCATATATTTCGAAATTCCAAGTACCAGTTCTTACGTGGTGGTGGAACGATGAAGTGCAACGGTAGGTTAGGAAGAAGAAAGAGGCTAGAAAGAGGAATGATAATTCTATAAAAGGAAGGAAGATAGGGACACATACAAGATAGCAAAGAGGAAAGCAAAACGCGTTGTAGTTACTTCTAAGGAAAGTATTTCTCCAGATATTTGAATATTTAAAATTGGAATTGGACCCAAAATGGCGCTTGTTATTCGTGAAAATTCTACATTTATCTCGATAGGTTATTTTCAGTGTTGACAAGTGCTTCCATGTATGTAAATTCGTTAACTGATTAGATAGAATCACCTTATATAGGTAACGAATGGCCGTTAGGATTCGTAGTTTTGTTGATGTTTATTATTAGGCCCATTTTTATAGCTGTTTCTTAAAATGATGGTAAGGTAAGACACTAAATCAGAACCCAGTACGAATTAATAGATCAAAAAGAGAAGACTATTGGGAGAAAAAAAAGAGCAATAAACAACACAGAAAAAAAAAGAAACATATGAAGATTAAGAATATGGTAGATTGATGACTATTGGGATGAAGATGGAATATAGTCGATGGGGAGGAAGAAATATATTAGAGAGGCATATATCCAGGAATGGAGAACTTGAAATGTTAGGAAATTATAATAATAATGTTAAATGCATTTGGGACTATATTTCATGTATTTATTCTATTACAATATTTTAAAATTGATAACACTTTGCCTACCTAATTAGTTTAGAGAAAATTTAAAAATGACAACACTGCAGAGCTCAATTATTCTGCAAATGTGCGTCAACTGTAACTATATTTAGGTAATATGAATGAAAATACAATGAACAGAAATATCTCACAATGCATATAGGAATAATAAATCAACCGAAAAACAAGTAGGATTAACAATTTCTTTTTAAATTATTCTAAAGGTAAATTATAACTTTTATAATTTAGAATTAATCAATAAAAATCAGTGATGGCTCTCAATATTTTAACTTGAAGGCGCAAAAAACAAATGCAAAAACCTTTTTCATACAAACGTGCTGTTCAAACGTTGAACTTGCTGTACAGACAAAGATCAAAGTTAAAACGATTATTTCGGACGAAATAATGGTCATAAACCTTCATTAATACAAAGAGCTATATTTTATATAAACCTATTAAGAGTAGTTTATTAAGATCATCCATTAACTTTCACCTAAGAGACCTCTGATGAATGTCTCCATGCCAAATTAGCTTTAAAGATTAAGAAACACTAACGCGTCGAGAGTCCCCGCCTCTCGACGCGTTAGTGTTCTGAGCTGTTGGACGTGAATCCCTGTCCTGGCATTTGGTTTTCACCTCTGGCTGCGTTGAGTAGTTGAGTTACTGTGACCAAATGCCCATCTTGGTAGTTAGTATTCGCCTCTGGTTGCGTTGAGTAACTGAGTTACCGTTGCTAACTACCCATCTTCCTGTTCTTTTGTTTTCTTTTTTCTTTTTCTTTGTTCTCCTGAAGAAGCTACATACAATTGTAGCGAAACGTCGAGATGAACCCACTTTTGGGTCACTCACAAATGACACGGTCCAAACCCGGAAGACGAATAAACTATAAATCTGTTAAATTGTCATCAAATTTTGCCTCCAAATACTTATTACCGACTGTTTAATTCCTGATAAAAGTTTAGGAACATGGTAAAAAAAATATAATTTTGTAATGGTTTCCAAAAAATATTTATTAATAATAAAATCAATATTTAACAAAAAATTATTTTTAATAACATTTTTGAAAGAATATATAATATTCTAACATTTATATAATCATATTACTTTAAATTTATTTATGCAGTGTGGATATTAAGTCTTATCCCCACTAGTTAACTCCGTTATTTAAGACAAAGATGAAAAACGCTGGGACCCTTCAATTTTTATTTTAATAGAGGCATTTTATAACATAAAAAAAATTTTCACCCCTTTCATCCCCTTCACTTGACAGCTACCCCCTCAGATGTTTTAAATAGCAATGGGGGTCGTGCGATAGTTCGATGGAAAGGGTTTGAAAAGTAGAATTCTAAAACCTATCACACTTTACTTTAACTTTAAGGATCTGTTTGTTAATAACGATTTATTGTTTGGAGATACCATTTGCGATACAAAAGTAAGGTACACTGGTTTTGCTTTAATATGGGACATTCGGTATAACAAAATTTATTTAATTTTTATTCTTGAACGTCTATACCGAATTATTTTTTTGCAGAATAAATACTTTTGTGTCGTTAAAACATATTGTGCTTAGAACAATTTTTTAAATAATCTAGTTGGCGTATCTAGTTTTTGACAACTGTCATAAAAACCAAGAAATTAACCCGGTTGATTCTAAAGAATATTGACAAGAACTTGAGATTTGGTGAGCTTTAGTGGTAACCTGTAAATTTTTAGTATTTAAAAGTCAAAACAATCAAAATGGAACCACCTCGTAGATTAGTAGACAAATTTGAAGCAATTTTAATATTTAGTGAAGCACGCCGTAACTACCATGAAGCTGCGAGAATATTTAAAGAACGTTTTCCGAATCGTCCAATTGTTCGACATTACTATAGACTACTTGTCACCAAATTTTGTGAAACTGGTTCTGTCGAAAACAATAAACGGAATGGTAGAAAACAGACTTCTTAGGAAAAGCAAGTAGATATTTTGTCTCACTGTGTAGCATAGATAAGAGGGTTAGGTTAGGTATTCATCCAGTTCAACTAAAAATGTTGCTCGCGAATCCAAAGTAAGTCACAGGACCGTCTAAAACATTTTAAAAAAGCAAAGATTTCATCCCTTTAAGATGAAAATTTTGCACGAATTGACAGAGGATGATCCAGATCGACGACTTTAATAGATATTGTGAAACTATGGATAATAATCTCTAAATAAACTCAATTTACCACTAAATTAAATGTTTGGGCAGGTATACTACGGGATCACATTATAGGCCCTTTTTATCAAAGGCAATTTAACGGGTGAAAGCTATTTTAATCTATTGGAAACAAAAATAATTCCTGAAATTAATTATGTGCTTAGAAACAATCCAGGCGAATTCACCCAAGATCTTGTTTTCCAGCAAGATGGAGCTCCGCCTCATTTACGATACTCGCGTTCAAAATGTTTTAAATAATTTGTATCCGAGAAGATGGATTGGACGTCGTGGATTCATTGAATGGCCACCAAGATCGCCAGATCTTACTCCTCCAGATTTTTACCTATGAGGTTACCTTAAATCCAAACTGTATGGAGCCGATGACAATACAAAGAAGACAAAAACAATGGTCATCAGCAAGCACCAAAACAGAAGGGTGAAGGTCAATGTCGACGGAACAGATCTGGAAAGAATAACACGAACAACGTACCTTGGAAGTAATCTTGATGAAACTTGGCACCACTCATTAGAGATAAGAATACGCCTGGAAAAGGCACGTACAATGTTTTACAAAATGCAAAAAGTTCTATGCAACCGCCAGCTGAGCATCTCATTGAGAACTAGAATACTTAAGTGCTATGTTTTCTCCACTGTGATGTATTGGCAACCCTGCAGTGCGGTTACGTCACAATCAGCTGGAAAACACTCAGGAATACAGACGCGACGATGACCTATTTAATGTATATTGTTATTTGCATTACGTTTTGGAGTGATCATTAAAGTCGGTAGTATTTCCTATACTGTGTTTATTATTTACAACCGGTCCGATACATATTATTTGGCGACGAGGATGGGATCCGTGTGTGTGCCAGTTTAAGTGCATTATTTCGTCCCGGTGATAAATAAAGCAAAGTGTGTGCAGGATGGCGGCATTCGGAAACATCGAACAGTTTAACGTGGGTGACTCCAAAGGTTGGGAATCATACGTC